TTACTCTCTTTTAAAGCCGATAGTAGTTCTTCGATGTTGAAGGGAGCATCTAATGGGGACGATGTAGTCACAGCGTCATACGTCCTGACTGTCTTGTTATCGATTAAAGAAAATTGGTCTGCAAATTGTTCTGCGGCGTCCTCTAGACTTGTGCCCAACCGAAACGCCATCGATGCGTGTGATAGGTGGAGATCTCGTTTGCCCATGAAAACATCAAGGATTCGCCAAATTTGGGTTCCAGGTTTATTTGCATCTGCTGATGCACAGTTGTCGTCCCAGTGTTTACGCTTTGTTTTTTTCGCATATCGTGTTGTTGCTGCATTGATTCTGTTTAGATCGGTTTTGTTTGCGCTGGAATACTTCCTTTGGAGTTTTAGTTGGGCCTGTCTTCTTGCTGCATCAAGATTGAGCAACGTGAGATCAGGCTCTGGGTAGTGCTCTGGGAGCTTTATCTTGATGGTGGCCTGATTTGCGCTGGTCAAGACTGCTTGTAATATGGGTTCTGATGATTTTTCCATATGTGCTCGAAATGAATCCCAGTGAGTAACATATCGAATACGCTGTTTAGTTCCACGGAATCCATGCAGATCTAAAAATATCGGATAATGGTCGCTGTTCATGGTATCAGGGTTTCTCGTCCAATTTACGCATAGGTCTGTGGAATGAGCAGTGATGTCGATGGCGCTATACGTATCAGGAGGACGAAAAAAGGTCGGACTGCCGTCGTTTGCAACAGCGAGGTCGCACTCTTCAAAGCATTTTGCCAACGCCCGGCCACGAGTATCGTCTCTGCTAGCTCCCCAAAGGCTGTGGTGTGCGTTCCAATCTCCGCAAAGTAAGATTGGGTCCTCACAGCGCTGGCAAATTTCTTTTACGACTTCAGAAATCTTGATTCCACTCTTTCCAGCACGGACATATATGGATGCCACACACAAACTCCGTCCGGTCAACATGACACGTGCTGCTACCAGTTCAATATCTTGGGTGCACAAATCGCTCGTGTCAATCTGGTGTTGTGGAAGAGCTTTTCGAATATAAAGGGCTGCACTCCCGTCAGGAAAACCGCTCATGGTTGGATTTTTGTAGCAATAATACCCAGAAATGCTGCGGTTATTGGGGAGACCCGCCTCACTTAATGCAAGTATCGGAATAGGGAAGTGTTCTAAGTACAAAGAAAGCTCCGCATGACGATTTTTCAGCCCGGCACAGTTCCACTGCATGAGAATCGGTATATTTCGTCGTTTTATTGCTTTTCGTTGCGGCTGACACTTTGAAGTGTCAATCATGGCTCTGGTCGAAGTTTCGTGTCATTTCTGTAATGGCCGGTTGGAAAAACATGATTGCTTGTAATATGGTCTTGAAATTACCTGACGGTAGGTTGGCAATGAGGTTTGGTAAAACAGAAAATATTAGACTAACTAAATCCCCGATTTTTGAATTCTGAGAAGGTCTTTTTCCAGTGACGATGTCGCTGTATGATCTCTTTCCTCTGGTATTAGTCTTTGAGGTGGCGGTAGTGTCGGTGTCAGCATCTTTTGAGTAATGTGCTTCCACTTCTTGTTCTTTCTCGGAAGAGGTCTGCTTTTTTCCCTCTTTTGTCCCAGCAGCTTTGGCTTTCTTCTTTTTCGCAGTGTCATTCGGAGCCTTAACCCTTGGATTCCTCTCCGCGGTGATTTTGTCATCTTGGCTTGTGGCCTTTAAGCGTGGTGCATCACGTTCCACCTCTGTGCAATCCGCATTTTTGAAAAATTTGGGGCCTCTGATAAAACTCTTCTTCTTCGCTAGAGCTTGAAGTCGAGTTTTGCAGTTGACATAATCGGCTGGATGGTCTCCGCCGCAGTTCGCGCATTTGACGGGTGATTCGCCATTGCAGTCCTTGGTGGCATGTGTTCCTCCACATCTCTTGCAGATCGCGGTGGCACTGCAGTATTTTGCCACATGGCCCAAAGCTTGGCAGTTGAAGCATCTTGGGGGCGCTTCGACATAGTCAGTTACTTCATGTCGTGTGAAGCCGAGATTAACCTTGGCAGGGCGTTCTGTGTTAGGGCGAAAAGTGATCACCACTTTATCTGTCGGCCGCACTGTTTCGTCTGGTTTGCCGTTGCGTTGGTATAGGCGCCGTGCTGCAATGACTCCTACTGGTTCGAGGAATTCAGTCATCTCTGAGTTTGAGTACCAGTCAGGCACTCCTTTGATCAGCCCATTGTTTTGCATATACGCTTTCGGGATGGTGGCCTGAACTAGGATCTCTCCCAGGCAGCGCACCTTCAGGAGCCTGTTGACCGTCGCCGGCTCTGCTACGTCAACGAGTAGACCTCCCCTGGCTGTAAATCGATGGCGTACGAAGGGTGCGCCTGCAGCTGCCCTGACTTCGTCATTTAGCTTGAGCGGGTTTAGCTGCTGTAATCTTCTCCCTTCTTGCGTTGGAGTGAACAGCACAGGTATGCCTGTTGTCCTTTTACGGCGATGTTAGACTAGGATGAATCCCTCGTTGTCTCCCTCTGCTTGGGATGCGTCCATTGAATCGCAGTTGCTGAGGAGCAGTTTGGCTGGTGTGGACTCTTGTGATGTGGAGTCGTCGGTTTTGTCAAATCGTCGCTTAACAGAGGCGTGGGGTCGCTGACTTGGCGGGATAATATGGTAAGCGTGGTCTTTCTCAGCGGTCTCTTCAGTTAGAACCACTGGTTCGATGGCGTCCATTTGGTCAGCCTCCGCGGAGGCCATAGCTGGCCTTGTAGGCACCCAGGTTGCCCCGGTACCTGATGTTCTCCAAGAAGAAGAGTCTAGTTTTGAGACCGTGACCCAAGAAGTGGTGAAAACCGTCGGTGCGGCGTGAAAAACGTCCCAAAACCAGGAGCGGTTTGTAAAACACAAACGGGGTGGGTGACACTTCTTTTTCCTCGACAGAACATGTAGACAGGACAAGCGCTAACTCACAACTGGCGTTTTAATAGAAAAGAAGAGAAGGAAGCAGCATAGAAATACGCCGAACAAGGAAGAAAAAGATTTATAATAAAAGGAAAAGTGAAAGGTATATACAAGAATGAATAAAAGAAAAGAGAAGAAAATGAGAGAAAGGGGAGCTGCGTAACTAAATTAATTCCTGGGAATATATTGAAATTAGGAAAAGGCTGTAGCTTAAAGAAAGAAGAAGTTGAGAAGACTAGAAGTTCCCGCTGAATCAACCTCAAGTTGGCCACCGAAGGTAAGTTAATTCTTTTTCAGTTAAAGCCACTGAAGGTGCACTCACACAGGCTAAAGCCCCTCGATGTGTTTGCGTTCGTCTTGCAAGTAGCGTCAAATGCGCGAGTGCGGGAGGCCCGTGTCTCGAGCGGCCCTTGGGAGCAAATGGCGGCGCAGCACTGAAATGAGCGGGCCTTGGAAGCGAATGGCGGCGGAGCACCCGCTCATGGCACGTGTCTCGAGCGCTTCCACAACAATGGTTGGCGGTACTTGTAAAAAACGCTTTTATCAAGGGGCTTTAACACAGGCGTCTTCCTTGTCTTTGATGGTTAAGGCCTCGTAGATTTCTCTTGAAGTTTTATCGCGGAACCGTCGTAGGATTTTCGTTTTTGTCAGGATCGGTAGGCATTTACAGTCTCTAACATGTACTGCGAGATGTCCCGCTGGAGTTGAATTGAGTGAGGAGGCGTGTTCCCGCAACCTGGTGTTGACGCAGCGGCCTGTCTGCCCGACGTATATCTTGCCACAAGTGAACGGTATTTCATATATTACCTGGCTTTGGCAAGGTACATATAATTGCTTGTGTTTGACGGTGCACGGTACTTCTCGATCTTGCGGATTATTTATCTTTGGACATAGCTTCTTGAGCTTGTTAGGTGCAGAAAATATGACAGGGATGCTATATCTAGACGCCACCTTTTACAGGTTATGCGACACCTGGTGGATATAGGGTATCACTGCAGGACGCTGTCTTGGGGGTTTTGTATTTTCCTTTCCCTTTCGAGGGCGGATCATTCTTTCAACTGCCTCACACAAGATGGTATTTGAATAGCCAGAAGTCGCAAGCCGTTGTAATTGCTCTTCAAAGCTCTGTCCCGCTTTGTGTTCGCACGGGACAGAGCTTTGAAGAGCAATTACAACGGCTTGCGACTTCTGGCTATTCAAATACCATCTTGTGTGAGGCAGTTGAAAGAATGATCCGCCCTCGAAAGGGAAAGGAAAATACAAAACCCCCAAGACAGCGTCCTGCAGTGATACCCTATATCCACCAGGTGTCGCATAACCTGAAAAAGGTGGCGTCTAGATATAGCATCCCTGTCATATTTTCTGCACCTAACAAGCTCAAGAAGCTATGTCCAAAGATAAATAATCCGCAAGATCGAGAAGTACCGTGCACCGTGTAGTGATCTGTGATAAGTGATTTTGCCACCAGATGGCGCAACGTGTGTTCTGTTTAGTATGCTTTGATGGTGAGTTTATCGGGTTGTCTTATCTTGTTGTTATGTGTGTTTATGCATCTATGATGTCACGTGACATATGTTAATAAAAGAGCCGCCGTCCGTCAGCGACGTCAGAGAACTACGGGACACCCAGCAGGCAACATGTCTTTGTCTCATTCTTCGTAAGCCCCGAACGCGCGGGACCGCGGCTTCCTGCCCGGCCACATCATGTGAGTGCTGTTAGCGTCCTCTCCTTTCGTACCGCCGTGTAGAGGAGATTACTACAAATTTTGGCGACGAGGTGGTTAACCGTAGTTCTCTCCGCGTCTCGGTGCACTGGCCGTGAGAGCCGACGCGATTTTTTTTTTTCTTCTTCGATCCATTTCGTTTTACTTGGAACACGTTCCATGGCTAGTCAGAATGGGCCCTGACAGCTGCTTCCCTTCAGCATGCGTCTCGTGACAACGTAAGATGTGAGTTTGCACTGTTTTTGCATCGTTTCCTACAACCTTCTACAACATATATATAATGGATAATGGAACGCAGCCTCCTGTAGCTGCCGGCACGTCAGCGCTCGCGCCGGTTCCATCACCGCCCGACTTCTTGCCAGTTCCGGGCAAGCCCGAACGTGCATGGCCAGCGTGGAAACGTGCTTTCTTGATGTTCCTTGAGGCGTCCGGCTTGGACAGTGTTGCGCCTAGTCGAAAAAAGGCGATCTTGTTTTCCATGCTTGGGGCTGAGGGCCAGAGAATTGTTGACGCTTTTCAGCTCGATGAGACTCCCGCTTCCGAGGAAGGCGATGTTTTTGAAGTCTTTTTGAGTGCTATCGAGAAGCACTTTGAGTTTTCTGGGTGTATCGCGCTGGAACGCCAAAAGCTTCGCGCTCGCGTCCAACGCCCGGGAGAAACCGTCTCGGAGTACTTGACCGCTCTGCGACGCCAAGGGTCTTTTTGTTCTTATGGAGACGCTTTGGAAGAGAGGCTTGCTGAGGTCTTTTTGGAGGGGTTGGACTCTAAGCGGGTCCAAGACCGCATCCTTCGAGAGTGTGTGGGGACGGGGGTACCCACTTTAACCCGTGTCGTTCAGCTCGCGCTGCAGTACGAGCAACTTGCGCGCACCACAGAAAGCTTCCACCTGCGAGCTCCCAGTGCTAGCGGTGCGGCGCCGGCAGCCGTTGAGCGCGTCTTTGCGCACGTGCCCATTGGAACGCCGGACGTCCAAGATGGAGGTCCATGGCCGGCTCCTTCCCGAAGTTGGTGGCAAGATGGCCGGTCCGGCGTCACTTCCAGTCACGTGCCCCGGACTTTACAACACCACCCACCCCAGCGTCTGCGCTACCCTCCTCCTTCAAGGCACGGAGATGAAGGAGTCGGTGTTCCCTGCAACTTCTGTGGTCGACGCGGCCACAACCGCAACGAGTGTCCAGCGTCTGGTGTGGCATGTTTTTTGTGTGGAAAGACGGGCCACTTTGCGGTGGTTTGTCGGAGTCGCCGCCCACCGTCGGTGGCCTTCGTCAGTGACCCGCGGCGAACGTCATTCCCGAGCCGTGGCCAGGGCTCCGGCCGTTACTTCGCCGCCCGACCGTTTTCACGGAATGTGCCGTCAGGAGGTAACGATCCTGTGAACATTGTTGGGCCATCCCTGGTGCCGGAGATGCTGCCGAGCGTCCCCGTTGAGTCGGCCGAGCAAGCAGCAAGAGGTGTTTATCGTCGGGATGCCTTCATGGCCGACATCAAGGTAAATACAACCCCTCTTCGTCTCCTTGTCGACACTGGCTCTTTTGTGTCCATTCTGAATGAACGAAAGTTTAATGAAGTACAACGGAGTTCCGACATTCGACTATGTCCGCCCTCGAAAACTCTTGTTCACTACATGCAAGACACTATCCCTGTGCTTGGATGCTTCACCGCTCAAGTTGTTTTTAAGGATCGTTATGCACCGTTGGAGTTTTTTGTCACCCGGACTGGACGATCGCTACTTGGCGTCGACGCCGTCCGAGCGTTGCGCATGAGATTATCAGGAGATGAAAATGATTATGTTTGTTCGCATGTTGATGCAGCTCAGGGAGGAGGAGTTCCACGGCAGTATGTGAAGTCGGCGGTCCCCCTGCAGCGACGGCCGTTCACCATCACGTCCTGCCAAAACCGCCAACCGGCCGGATCCAGAGATGCAAGGTCCCGGTCATCTTCTTTTGTACCTTCGGGTGCCAACGTGTCTACATCGTCATCGGTCTCGGAAGAGACCACTCCGAAAGTTCCCGCGGACTTTGACCACGATTCGTCGACAGCCGCGATTCCGCGACGCCATCCTGAGAGCCATGGGCTCCATCAACCACATCTTCCTGAAAACACAAGTCCTGAGAATACAAGCCATGAAATCACAGCACAACTGCTACACCATGAAAATACAAATGCATCTCAAGTTTCAAGTCCTTTTCTTCCAGATCAGTCCAAGTTGCCCAAAGGCTTCGAAGAATTTGAACATCTCTTTAGTCCAGGTTTGGGTTTGGTCAAGAATTCCACCCATACTATCAAGCAGCGTTGCAACGTGCCACCGGTACAGTCCAAGCTGCGCCGTCTTCCGATGACCCTGAGGGATGCTGTCTCGGAAGAGATTTTCAGACTAGAGAGAGAAGGTGTGATCGAGAGAGTGGATGCCTCCGAGTGGGTTTCACCTATCGTCGTCGTTCGGCGGACTGACGGACGTATCCGGATGTGTGTTGACCTCCGTGCGCCAAATCAAGCGGTAGTCATCGATTCTTTCCCGCTACCCCACATCGATGAACTACTGGGTTCCTTGCGTGGTGCCAGTTGCTTCTCCAAGCTGGACCTGGCGTCCGCTTACCACCAAGTTCGTCTCGACCCGGTGAGTCGTGATCTCACTGCTTTTATCACGCATGAGGGACTGTTCAGATTCAAGCGCGTTTGTTTCGGGTTGGCTTCGGCACCTGCAGCGTTTCAAAACATCATGTCAAAAATCCTGAAGGATTGCAAAGGAGTCCAGTTTTACCTTGATGATATAATAGTCTACGGTGCTACGCAGGCAGAACACGACGAGAATCTGCGTCAGGTCCTCTCTTGTATCTCCCGAGTCGGGATGAAGCTAAATCGTAAAGGTGTTTTTCGAGTTACAGAACTTTCGTTTCTGGGACACCATCTTTCCGCGGAAGGACTAGCACCCCTTTCCGCTAAGGTAGATGCAGTCCTGAATTTTGAAACCCCTACCGAACCAGCAAAGCTGAAAGCATTTCTGGGACTTGTTGAATATTACAGTAAATTTATCCCTCATTGCTCAACTGTCGTAGAGCCCATGCGTCGTCTTCTCCGTAAAGGAGTTCGCTTTCACGGGTCCCCGGAAGCCGAGGCCAGTTTCCAAAATGTAAAGGCTTCCATAAAAAGTGCTCCGATTTTGTCGATGTTTGATCCAACACTTCCTATCATTTTGGCTACGGATGCATCTAACTATGGTCTTGGGGCCGTGTTACAACAACAGTACGGAAGTCAACTGCGTCCTGTCGCTTTCGCTTCGCGCTCGTTGACTGATGCCGAGCGGAGGTATTCAACAGGTGAAAAGGAGGCGCTGGCCTGTTTGTGGGCCTGTGAGAGGTGGCATGTGTATCTGTGGAGTCGGTCCTTTGTGATACGAACAGACCACCAAGCTCTAGTCGCCCTGCTTTCTAGCAAGGGGTCTGGGATCCGCCCTTTGAGGATCACCCGGTGGACAGCCAGACTGCTTAATTATAATTTCACTATTGAATATCAGAAGGGATATGCGAACCTGGTTGCCGATGCTTTTTCACGGCTACCCGTTAACGACACGGAGAATGGTATGGAATTTACCGAGGAGGTCGTTTCTCTTATCACAGTCCCCATGTCCAAACTCGCATTTCAACAGGCTACGGCTAATGACGCTATCCTTCCATCTGTAATCCGGTACACTACCACGTCCTGGCCGGAGGGTAATGACATCCACACCGACTTGCGACCGTTCTTTCAAGTGCGTGAGCAACTTTCACTGTATGAAGGTATCTTGTATCGTGGAGAAAGGCTCGTGCCGCCATCAACACTCCGTGACAACATCATCCATCTTGCACACGAGACACACCAAGGAATATCACGAACAACAAGCCTCATACGTGAACACTATTGGTGTTCACGTTCACGTTCACGTTCACTAACCAGGAGATCAAAACAAAAGTGGAAAATTGTACGGTGTGTCATTCGACTGATAAACCTGTAAAGGCCGCACCCGCTCCGTTGCAGCCCATAAAGTTCCCCGACCAGCCTTGGGAAAAACTTGCTGTCGATATCGTAGGCCCTATCGACAGGGCGCCACAGAGTCAACGGTTTTTCATTGTCTTGATAGATTATCATTCGAAGTGGCCTGAGGTGCAGTCTGCCGCAGCAGTAACGTCTTCAACTGTCATTTCCTTTTTGAGAAATGTGTTTGCTCATGAAGGACTTCCCTGTGAGCTTGTTACAGACAACGGGGTACAGTTTATGTCCAAAGAATTTCAAGACTTCCTTCGTGAAAATGGCATAAAACATTTGAAAACGTCCTTGTATCATCCACAATGTAACGGTCAGGTGGAGAGATTTAACCGTGTTCTCAAGACGTGCCTTCAGGCAGCTAGAGTTCAAGGCCGTCCTCTTATAGACGCTGTTCGAGACCATCTCGAAGCGTACCGCCGTACGGTACATCCTGCGACGGGGTTTGCCCCTTCACTTTTATTGCATGGCCGGATCCACCGGTCTAAACTAAACCTCCAAGGGATGCCTACAAGGCAGCTTCCTGATTTCGTTTTACAACAACGTGCTCTTCTTCCCGAGAGGGTTCAAAGTTATCAACAAAACATGAAGTCATATTGGGATCACCGGAAGGCTGCCAAACGGCCACAGTTCTCCGCCGGTCAAGCCGTGCGCGTGTTCAAGCCCACACATCGTGGCAAACTTCAATCAAGGTATACACAGTCGAAAAGGGTTGAAGCCCAGCTGGGATCAGCCACGTACAGGCTCGATGATGGAAGGACCTGGAATGCCAGTAAATTGACGAAGGCGTCTGCACGGCCTCGTGAGGGAGATTCCGACATCTACTCGGACGAGGAAGATTTTCGTGAACTCTCCAATAGTATTCCTTCACTTCCACTTCCAAATGTCCTCGCACCATATATAGATCAAAATGATAGTATTCCACACAGTATACCTGAAAGTCATACAGTTCCTGATCCGGGGCCACTGCTCGTCCCCGGTGCTTTTGACCCTGGGCCTCGTCAATCCCCACTGGCTGGCGAGTCTGGGCCGACGCCTGGGCAACCTGGATGTTCCTGGTGGCCCGACACCGAGCCTCCGGCTGCGCTCGGAGATTCCGTGCAGCCTGCTTCCCCAGAGGAACCAAGTCCTGGCGAACCAAGTGGGGCTCCCCAGCAGGTGGACGTACCCTGTGACCCAGTGGTTGTGCAGTGCGACCCTTCAAGCCGTGATTTTTTTTTTTCGTATCCCAGCCGTCAGTGACTTTGGCAACCCCATTGGCTACTAGTACTCCCCTACGACCACAACGAAAGAAACGTCTCCCAGCAAAGTTGAAAGACTATGTCATGTCTTTCATTTCTTCAGATGACTCAAATATGGAAAGTGAACAGAATTCATTTATCGACATTGTTTAACGCATAGTTGTTGTTTTGGAGACTGTTTGGAGTTCCCGTGTGGAGTGTAGTCTTCAGGTCCAAGAGCTTGTTTTTGGAGATGTCTTTCCATGTGTTTCTTATATTCCTCCAAATGTCTTCAATGAGTCTTTGTTTTGCATCCTTACATAACACTATGTCATAGCATGTAATAATGAAAATGCTTTAGGTATCCTTGGCCAAGGTAAAAAGACGTCCATGACAAACACCAACTCTTGACAACACCTAACCACTAACAATTACTAACATACACTACACCTGTGTCATGGACATCAAAACAGGAAAACAAAGGCAAACAAACTTCAGTCCAGATCTGTAGCAACTCGAGGTAGGCTATAGGGAATCGGAGACTGTGTTTGTATCTCATGTAGAAACTGTCTATGGTTTTTGTCATACTGTGGTGACATGGATGAAAAGAGCTACGGTACTGCTCAGCGTCGACCAGACGATCTGCCGTCTCATTGCCAGGAACGCCGCTGTGAGCCGATACCCGGTTCCATATGTTACAATTTTTTTAACAGACAAGGGGAGAGCGTTGTCTTTATTGTGGTGAAATTCGAATTGTGTTTTGTGCTTTGTTTCCCTCCGTTTCTTTTAAAAAATTTTAAGGAGGGCAGTGTGTAGTGATCTGTGATAAGTGATTTTGCCACCAGATGGCGCAACGTGTGTTCTGTTTAGTATGCT